CCTTGATAATATGATCAATTCGGTTGATAAGATGTCGTAAATTCTATATTTATTTACAATTTTCGGATTTTGGATAAGTAGAAAGATTTAAAAAAATTCCCTAGTAAAGCTTTCCCAAATACTTTTCGTTTGGAAACAGTTATGTAATATTTCATTTCATTTCAATATTTTCAGTCTTTACTTTTAGATAGATGATAATCCTATAAAAAATATTTCCAAATCAAGATTTTTCAAATACCTTTCGTTTGGCACCCATATTGTTCCTCAAACATATTTTCGATTGTAAGTCTTCTTAAAACTCTTTAGTTTGATACCCACATCGCAATATTTCATTTATTTAATCAATCCAAAACGGTCCACCCTAATGCTTAATAATATAGGTACATATGTACGCATACATGTACACTAAAGTGGTCCAAAAATGTAAAAAATAAGGTCGGATTTTTAATGCTGCCACCCACTAAGATTGTTATATATGTATACCCATATTTTTTATTTTGAAATAAAAAATAATTTAGGTAGTGCTCAAAGCGCTCAAAGTTTTCCATGTATTTTATATGGAGAAAAAACATCTTTTCGTAGAAATAGTGTAGAATTCCTGAAAATCAATATTTTTCGATCAGAAAACTTTACTTATCTTCAGGAGATTCCCAGTAATAATACTTAATTATTTCTTTAACAATTTTTTCATGGTAACTATATTTTATAGGTCCTCCAAAGGCCTTAGAAAATGCAATGGGGGGACCAATAAAAAATCTTTAATCATAAAAAATGGTTAAATAAAGAACTGGATATAAATCTCCTGAAGAGAACCATAGTTTTCCGGTCGAAAAATATTGATTTTCAAGAGTTTTATACCATTTCTACGAAAAATTGTTTTTTCTCCATATAAAATACATGGAAAACTTTGAACGCTTTAAGCACTCCCTAAATATTTTTTGATTTCGAAATAAAAAAAGGGGTATATTTTTTTCGATATGGATCAATCCTAGGGTGTGTCGGCATTAAAACTCCGACTTTATTTTTTTGGACCACTCTAATGTACATACGTATTTATTAGAAACTGTCATACATTTTTCCCGCCAAATTAACTATTTTTTAACTTCCCCTCCAAACAGTTTTACTGCTTTGAGGTTGAACTCAATTCTATTGAAAAGAGCGCGGGTACTTATTTTCCCGTATACAACCAGGAACGGCCGTCAGCCACCACACATCGTCCGTACCCGCTCTACATTTGTACATATCCATAAAAAAATAATAATAAATCAAACATATTTGACAAGGGACTAATTTTTCGTTGGTTTATTTATTTTATCGCTTTATATTGAAAATACATTGGTGCAACATACTAAGCTTTCGAGTTAAAATTTTCAAAAAGGTGGCAACTCTCCTCAAAAATATTTCCAACAGTCATCTATCTTAAACTTCCTTAATTTAATACCTATATTTTAATAAGTCATTTATTTTATCAATTATGTAAATTTAGTTAAATTTTCAAACAGGTGGCAACCCTCCTCAAATATCTTTTCAGCCGTAAACCTTAATATTGAAATACTTCATTTATTTATTTTTGTAATATAAATGATCCTGCTATGATACCGAACAATGCAAAAAGAAAATTATTCAAATCAGTTCAGCGGTTCTTGAGTTTCGATGACCGTGACAAAGGAACACAACATTTTTTTATATATAAAAATAGATTTCTAAATCAAGATTTTTAAATGCCTTTAGTTTGGTACCGATATTGTAACATTTAATTTATTTTACCAATTTAATTGAGATAAATTTTCAAACAGGTGGCAACCCTCTTCCAAGAAACTTTCTACTGTAGGACTTTTAAAAACTCTTTAGTTCGCTACCCACATTGCAATAATTCATTTGTTTAATCAATATAACTGAGTTAAAATTTTCAAATAGGTGGCAATCCTGCACAAAAGTATTTCCTAAAGTTTTCTTTCCTCAACCTCTTTAATTTGATACCTGCAGTGGATGGCAATTTATATTGTAATTGGTAGCACAGCGTAAACTACTAACCACTACTACAATAAGGGCTCTCACTAATATAAGTGATTAACTTAACGAAGCGAGCGCATAACTCTCATTGCTCTTGCATTGTACCTAATGAATTTGCCGGTGCATTGCACCTCGTTGCTTTTGCATTACTTCAGTCGTTCATTCGCCGTGCTGCTATACAGCTTTATATTATTAAAATAATAAAGATCAAATTAATTATTAATAACTAAACGCCTAGTTATCACAGTGGCGACGAGTCAATATTAGAATCTTCAGCGTGCGATTAAGCAAAAATAATGGCTACCAATATAATTGGATCTGTGCCTCGATTCCATCACGAAGAAAATTCATGGAGCGTGTTTCAGCAGCAAATTTCGCAGTTTTTTATTGCGAACGCCATTAAAGAAGTGCAAGTGAAAAAAGCCATATTGCTGACGGCGCTCAGCGAAAAAGCATATGTGCTTCTACAGAATTTGGTAAGCCCAGCAGCGCTTGAACACGACACCACTACTTACGAGTTATGCATTTCTGCAATGAAAAATCATTTTAAACCGATGACGTCAGCTTTTACCGAACGCTATAAATTTTATAATGCGAGTAAAGCAACAAATGAATCTGTAAACGATTGGGCAGCGCGAGTAAGGTCATTAGCGGTCAATTGTGAGTTTGGCACAATGCTCGAAACCGCGATTCGCGACAAATTCGTTATGGGGCTGGAAAAATGTCCGGCTCGGGATAAAATATTTTTGGAAAATATAACGTGCAGCATGACCAAAGTAGTGGAGATAGCAAACACGGCGGAGTACATTCGAAAGCACAACGACCTTAGTGACATCAAGCAAGAACCGCAAGAAGCTCTGCACTTTGTAAGCAACAAAAGCAAATCATCGCAGAGCAAGGCAAAACCGGGTAACAACCAACAACAGCAGCAGCATCAGAAACAGTCAAACGGAACATCAAAGCAGCAGCAACAAAAGCCATGTACGGTGTGTGGGCTTGCAGGTCACTCTAGTTATAACTGTAGGTATAAAAATTATAAATGCAATGTATGTAAAAAGAAAGGGCATTTGCAAAAAATGTGTACTACTAAAAAAGCTGAACTTAAGTACGTGGAAGACAGTGAGATCAATTTGTTTTCAGTGCGAAACAAGGGTGATGGTCCCATTAAAATTAAAGTAATGGTGCATAAAGTTCCACTGTTGATGGAGCTGGACACTGGCTCAGAGTTTAGTGTAATATCATTCGATACCTACATGCGATATTTTAAAAGTAAGTCACTGTCTGCGACGAATATAATTTTAAAAACCTACAATGGTGTTGCAATTAAGCCAGCTGGCATATGTGAAATGCTTGTGGAGTACCACGGTAAATCCGCGTCGGTGTCGGTAATAGTGGTTAAAAATGGGGGCCGCCGCTTCTTGGAAGAAATTTTTTACATGCTTTCGGTATAAACCTGGCTAATTTTAATTATTCCGACTCCAGTTGTAACACAGATGCACGTAAAGTTGTAGACAAATTCCCTGCGCTATGGGACGGGAGTTTAGGTTGCTTTAAAAAAGCACAGGCAAAATTGCGATTAAAAGAAGGGGCGACTCCCAAATTTTGCAAACCACGGCCAGTGCCTCTAGCTATTCAGGAAAAAGTAGAGAGCGAAATCGAAAAATTGGTTAAGCTAAACGTGTTGGAGCCGGTAGATTTTTGCGAGTGGGCGACTCCTATCGTACCGGTCTTAAAAAAAGATGGCGGTGTTCGAATATGTGGGGATTTTAAAGTGTCAGTAAACCCCAATCTATTGGTTGACAAGCATCCGTTGCCTCGTATAGAGGATATTTTTTCTAAACTACATGGGGGGCAAGAGTTCACTAAATTGGACTTGACCATGGCTTATCAACAAATTGAGTTGGAACCCGCATCACGTAAGCTAACCACAATAGCAACAACTAGGGGCTTGTTTCAGTACACACGCCTTATCTATGGACTCTCTTCCGCGCCAGCAATTTTTCAAAAGTTAATGGAAGGTCTTTTAATGCATTTAGAGGGGGTAGTGGTTTTTCTCGATGATATTTTGATAACAGCGCCTAATAGGAAACTCCACATGGGAAGAGTAGAAAGCGTACTTAACATATTACAAAAAGCTGGGTTAAAGCTGGCAAAAGAAAAATGTAGTTTCTTTAGTAGTAGCGTGGAGTACCTAGGGCATATTATTGATAAGCATGGGCTGCATACGAATCCCAAAAAAGTGAGGGAAATTGAAAACATCGCGTACCCCAAAAATGTGAAAGAGTTGCAGGCATTCTTAGGCGTAGTAAATTTTTATTGAAGATTTTTGCACAACGTTGCCAGTATTGGTGCGCCATTATATGAATTGCTTAAAAAAGATGTAGTGTTCCAGTGGTCTGACGGTTGTAGTCGCGCAGTGGATGAGCTTAAAGTAGCCTTAAAGGCTGATACGTGCTTAGCGCATTTTAACCCTACGTTTAAAACGAAATTAACCGTTGATGCTAGCCCAGTGGGTGTGGGGGCAGTGTTGTCGCAAATTTCAGACCAAGGTGAGGAGCGGCCAATAGAATTCGCTTCGCGTAAATTGTCGGATACCGAACAGCGCTATTCGCAACTAGATCGAGAAGCAGTAGCTATTCTGTACGGCGTAAAAAAGTTTCACCACTTTCTATATGGCCGCCACTTTACATTGGTAACTGACAACAAACCACTGCACCACATTTTCAACCCTAAAAAGGGTATTCCGTTAATGGCAGCGAGTAGACTTCAGCGCATAGCGCTCACGTTATCAGGTTACAGTTTCGATATAGCTCACATTAAGTCAGCCACGAACATAGCCGATTTCTTTTCAAGGTATCCTGGCAATAAAGAAGAAGCCATGGATGACAATTCAGAAGGGGTGTATTTGAATTACGTGGAAGGAGGAGGTATGCCTGTGAACCTCAAAAAAGTACAAGAAACTGTTCACTTTTGCACTATTGCAGAAGGTTATCGAGTACGTGAACTCAGAATGGCCTCGAAAATGCGAAGAGCCGGAATTACGTCCATATTTTGATAGGAGCTTGGAGTTGTCCATAGATAAGGAATGCTTGTTCTGGGGCTATAGACTAGTTATTCCCAAGGCCCTGCAAACAGAGGTAGTGGAGTTTTTACATGATTCCCATATGGGGATAAGCGAAATGAAGGCCATGGCGAGGGAATGTTGTTGGTGGCCAGGTCAGGGCAAAGATTTGGAAGATGTCGTGAAGTCGTGCGAATCATGCTTGATGACGCGCGCTAGTCCGCCAAAGCAGGAGCTCGTGACTTGGAAACGGCCGAAACAACCATGGAGCCGAATTCACGTTGACTTTTTCGGCCCTTTCATGAATAGGTGGTGTCTAGTGATAGTAGATAGTTACCCAAAATGGGTCGAGTGCGTGGATATGGGGAAAAATACCACGAGTAAGGCGACTATAGATGTGTTAAAAAATATTTTTGCGCGTTTTGGGTTACCGGAAACTTTGGTTTCGGATAATGGTACCGCTTTCGTGTCCCAGGAGTTCCAACGATTTTTACAATTAAATGGTATTCAGCATTCTACCACGCCAGTTGGCCAGCCTGCCACTAATGGGTTAGCGGAAAATACAGTGAAGACTTTTAAAAGCGCTTTAAAACGAGGTATGGGGCCTCCAGGGGGTCAATTTAATGATGTGCTAAGCCGGTTTTTATTGGACTATCGCAATGCTGCGCACTGTAGCACAGGGGTCTCACCCGCACAACTTATGTTCAGTAGACAGTTGCGTACACGGTTGGATTTATTGAATCCAAAAAGAAAAGCTGAAGAAAAAATTAAGGAGGTTATTGAGGAAAATGTAATAAAACAGCAAAACAGACGGAAAAAAAATTATCGCGGATCCAAAATAAATAAGTTTAAAGTAGGCGAGCAGGTAATTGTTAAAGATTTTTCAATTCCGGGGCGATTTTCGTGGACCAAGGCAATCATTGTCAAAGCTCTTGGAAAACAAATTTTTTTGGTAAAGACAAATAATAATGCGAAAGAATGGAAAAGACACGCAAATCAAATTATTCCATGCAAAAATAAAAAAGTTACAAATGGTCAAGAACCAGAAATTTTATCGAATCCGCTGGAAAAAATAAAGCTTAAAAACGATTTGCATGAACAAGGTCACGAAAATTCCCGGAAATCGCCTGAAATTTATACGAACAAAGTAGTTTTGGATGATCCTAATAATAAAAATGTTACCGAAAGTGGGAGTCAGCAAAACCACAGATACAATTTGCGTAATAGGAAGCAATCTAATTGATGTTAAATAAATTTAACCCAATATTTTTTCTTATATTGTTTATACTTTCATCAACATTTAACGATAAATAGCTTATATAATAAATAAGTGAATTAAATTATAGAATAAGTGAATTGAATAAAATTGTACCAATTTTTTTTTATGAGCATTGTAAACGTAGGATGAACGATTAAAAAGGGGGATATTGTAGTGGATGGCAATTTATATTGTAATTGGTAGCACAGTGTAAACTACTAACCACTACTACAATAAGGGCTCTCACTAATATAAGTGATTAATTTAACGAAGCGAGCGCATAACTCTCATTGCTCTTGCATTGTACCTAATGAATTTGCCGGTGCATTGCACCTCGTTGCTTTTGCATTACTTCAGTCGTTCATTCGCCGTGCTGCTATACACCTTTATATTATTAAAATAATAAAGATCAAATTAATTATTAATAACTAAACGCCTAGTTATCACAATACCAATTATATTGAGTTAAATTTTCAAACAGGCGGCAACCCTGCTCGGGCATATTTTCGGCTATAAGCCTTCTTAAAAATCTAAAGTTTGATACCCAAATTACCGTATTTCATTTATTTTATCAAAATAACTTAGTTTAAATTTTCAAAGATGTGTTAACTTTACTCAAAAATATTTCCAGCAGCTATCTTTCTTAATCCTCTTGAATTTAATATGTATACTGTAATATATCATTTAGTTTATCAATAAAATTGCGCATAATTTTTTAACAGGTGGCAACCCTCCTTTAAAATATTTTCGACTGTAAGCCTTCTTAAAATTCTTTAGTTTGATATCCACATAGCCATATTTAATTTACTTTATCAATTTAACTGAGTTAAAATTTAAAAATTGGTGGCAACCCTTCTCCAAAATATTTCCAACAGATATCTTTCTTAAACCTCTTTAATTTGATACCCATAATGTAATTGTTCCAGCGGGGTAATTTAGGGGCCGGGAATCCTCGTGATTCCGGCAACGGGGACCATTGGGGGAGCCGATTCTTTAAGATAATCTTTTAACTATATACCAACTAACGCCCTAGTCTCCAAAGATAAAAGATATGTCAAGTTTTCGGGTATTATACACAATTTAATTTTATTGAACAAATATATGTACAAACATGAGTTGACTCACCTGAGATGTCGCTGGCTGTCGATCACAAAATAGAAGGAGGCTATACTCAATTGCCGCATTTATAGGGTCCACGGACGGTGGAATTTGACAACGGGATCGACTAACAGGACTCGTGCCAAAAGGGAGATAAAGTAACGAGTCCTGTTAGCGAGTGGTTGGCAGCGACATCTCTCGGTGAAGTTTGTATACTAAAACTTAAGCTGCAGGCTTAAACATGCCGCCCGCCTTGCAGGATCGCTGCAATATAATATATTAATTCAATAATCAATATTCAAAATACATTTCAAAATTACAATTCAAAAATAATATGTACTTCAACAATTCAAAAATTCATCAGTTCATTCTTTGTTTTTTCTTAAATACTAAACTAGTTAGCCACTCTTCGCCGTCTTCTTCAGCTCCAGCCATAGGGGGTAGCTCCTGATATCACCCAGCCAAACATAGTATTCTGCGCGGCTGGTCTGGTGGGGGTCGCGGGCATCAGTCCCGGACGCAAGCTTACGGCATATGCATCGGCTCCCAATACCATAGATACCACACTCGCGCGGTAAAAGGTTGGGTCGGCTAACCGCAGATTGTCGAACTCATTCGCTACACGTGCGTCGACTGTGCGCTCTGGGGCGGTTCGCGTCAGGCTCGGTAGCACCTTTGCCCGGATCTCCAGTCCCTCATTCCACCCTTTGAGTGTTAAGGAACACTGGTCGCTCTCACCTCTGGGTACTGCGTGCAGCCTCCGCGCTAGGGCTCTTGCGATCGTGAAATGCGGCTGCCCTGGGTCTATGATGGCTCGCACAGAATGAATTTTCCCTCTTGACATCACCTTAAGTATCACCGTAGGTATGAGGACTGATAGGCCCAGAGCACTTCGAGCTGGTCCATGGATTCGCTCTCGGGCGGCGCGGCAGTTGCGAGTTGCGGCGCGTGTGTCGGCGAGAACACGGGCGTCTATTTTTGACGGTTCTTGGGACTCGCTGGACTGCCGACCGGATACCCGACAGAGGTAGTCTGAATACCGGTGGTTCGCTCAATTCAGACGCGTCTTCGACCACTTGGCGGTCCTCATCACTAGCGTCGATCTCCAAAACCTCTTCGCTTGACTCAGTCAACGCCTGAGCGTGGTATGGACGGCGGTGCCGGATTGGCCGGACGTCGGGAGCATTCGGGTCCTGCGACCTGGAAAGTTCCCACAGGTGGAGGAAACTGTGGTGTCGCTGTTGGCACAGATCACAACTTCGCTGTGATGAACACTCGCCGGACATGTGTCGCGACGAAAGGCAGTTGGCACAATAATGGTGAAGGAGGACAGCTCGAAGTCTCTCCTCAGGCTCCATTCGGCGGAACTGACGGCAGAACAGCAAGCGGTGGTTACGCTTGCAGACGGGGCATCGGTACCACTCTTGGGCTGCATTTGAGTTAGCTCGAACCATATTGTAAAATTCTGGAAGTAGAAAAAAAGTTAGTTTGTATTCGCTAGAGGGAGTAGTACTAATTTTACGATTGGTCGTGTAATTACGCCACGCGTGGTGCGTATTTCTACGACTCGCACGCATTTGTCTTGCCCTAAAAAAAACCTTAACAACTCTGCCAAGTCTCCATTCATTCGGGGGTAGGTTATCCTCTTTGATAACCACGAAATCATCGACTTCGATGTTTCGTTGGGGGTGTTGCCACTTGACTCTCTTGTGTAGTTCCTTTAGGTATTCCTCCTTCCATCGCCGACAGAATCCTTGATGAATGGTTGACGATTGACATGGGATTTCCACTTATTTCCGGTTCCGCAATTGCTAGCAACGGGCTGCCTATCAGAAAGTGTCCTCGGGTTAGGGGTTCTGTGGATTCGGGGTTGTCGGAAAGCGGACTAATTGGTCTCGAGTTTAGGCAGGCTTCTATCTTTGCTAGCAAAGTGGAGAACTCCTCCATTGTAAACCGCATGGTATTCGCCACCTTACGGAAGTGGGTTTTAAAGCTCTTCACTCCTGCTTCCCACAGCCCTCCCATATGTGGGGCTCCCGGTGGGATGAAGTGCCAGTCGATCTCGTGATGAGTATACGACTGGGTGGTTAGGCGGGAACTTTCTGCTACAAAGTTACGGAAGTCCTGCCTTAAAGCTTTATTAGCTCCTACAAAATTAGTACCATTGTCCGAGTACACCCTCCGAGGACAACCGCGTCTTCCCACAAACCTTGAAAATGCCGCTAGAAAGATGGAAGCCGATAGATCGCTCGTTGCTTCCAGGTGTATTGCCTTCGTCGCGAAGCACACGAAAACGCAAACATATCCTTTGGTTATAAGACACGCTCTGCTGGTATATTTTTTTATCTCGAACGATCCAGTGAAACCCACGCCAGTATTGGTGAAGGGACGGGAAACTTCCATTCGTTCCGGTGGGAGTGCTGCCATAAGTTGCTCTCGTGTCTTTTTTCTGTAAATAAGGCAAACTTTACAATTATGGATTACGCTTTTGATTAAAAGTTTCATCCGTATGATCCAAAATCCTGCCCTCAGAAGTCTCAGCATGAGTTGAGTTCCTCCATGCAGAAAAATCAGGTGTTAGAATCTGACTAAAAGTCGAGAAAATTGGCAATCGTACGGCAAAATCACTGGATAGCGTTCATTATATGGCAGCTCCGCTAGCGCTAGTCTCCCTCCAACTCTCATGATTCCATTTCTATCGAGAAATGGATAGAGAGCGTTGAGGGGACTCTTTGCGCCCACTGGCCTTGATGCCTCAAGTGCCTGATATTCATTGGAGTAGCACCGCTTCTGCGCTAAAAGAATCAAGCGTGTTTTGACCTGTCGAATTTCATCGGAAGTCACTTGGGTCGTTTCCCCTCGTGGGATCAATTTGTGTACGGGATGCGTTTTATAATAAAACTGAAAAACCCGTGCTATTACCCGCAGTGCTCGAGAGAAATCCGAGCACGGCTTTTTGTTCAAAATCCGTTTCCATGGACCTCTCATCCATCTTTTTTGGCCATTCCGATGGTTGTTCTTTCAACCACTTTGGGCCCTGCCACCAAAGTGTGCTCTTTACCAGTTCTTGGGGTGGGACGCCGCGGCTGCCGAGGTCTGCTGGGTTATCATTCGAATCCACATGATTCCATCCTCTCACACCGACCAGTTCACCGATTTTTGCGATCCGATTCGCCACGAAAGTGTTCCAACAACAAGGAGGCTTCCTGAGCCACGAGAGCACGATGGTGGAGTCGGTCCACTTGTAGATCACTGGCTGCGCTACGTCAAACTGCGGAAGTAAAGCATTTATTAGTTCTGCCAAAAGTAGTGCCCTGCACAACTCTAATCGCGGTAGAGAGACGGTTTTTACTGGGGCTACTTTTGTTTTACCTACAAGTAAATTTACATCCGGGGTCTTATTTGAATTACGTTCGCGTACTCTTACATACAACGCTGCCGCATACGCCTTCTCTGAGGCATCACAAAATCCATGAAACTCAATTTCATTCCAAGGTGTGAAATTGATCTACCTTGGAATTTTAATCTCTGAAATATGGATATAATTTCTAAGAAAGTTCTCCCACCGCTGGTAAAGGGTTGGAGGTAGACTATCATCCCAACCACCCTGCAGGGTCAAATAATTTTGCCACACACGATAAAACCTCCCGTTTGGTGTAGCACGGTTTTATTGGGATCTCTTGCACGTTGAAGTGAACCATGTCGTGAGCAGCATTCCATCGAATTCCCAACATTCTCGCCTCGCTCACATCGTCGATTTCCAAAAAATCCTCCTTCAGAAGATGAGCCTTTGGCAAAGCTGACAGGAGTTCCCTGGAGTTCGATGTCCACTTCCGGAGTGGAAATCCAGCTCCCTTCAGCGCATCTATGAGTTCATTGTGCGTGCGAATTGCTGTCTCGGTATCATGAGCTCCAGCAAGTACGTCGTCCACGTACATATGCTGCTTTAAAACCCTGGAAGCTAATGGAAACTGCAAACTAACGTCTTCTGCTAATTGGAGAAGAGTTCT